GGCAGACCAGCAGGGAGGAGGGGGGAGGAAGAGAGGGCAGACCAGCAGGGAGGAGGGAGGAGGAAGAGGGGGCAGACCAGCAGGGAGGAGGGAGGGGGAAGAGAGGGCAGACCAGCAGGGAGGAGGGAGGAAGAGAGGGCAGACCAGCAGGGAGGAGGGGGGAGGAAGAGAGGCAGACCAGCAGGGAGGAGGGAGGGGGAAGAGGGGGCAGACCAGCAGGGAGGAGGGAGGAAGAGAGGGCAGACCAGCAGGGAGGAGGGAGGAGGAATAGAGGGGCAGAGGAAAGAGGGGAAAGAGAGGTTGGACAGAGCCAGGGGAGGAGCCCCATGGGCAGGCTGGGGGAAGACATGGGCAGTGGTCAGGCTGGCCTTACCCAGCAGCTCCGGCTTCTTGTTGGACAGGATCTGGTAGAAGATGTGGTAGTTCCTCTCAGCCTTGAGCTGGAAGATCACCCGAGACTTCTCCAGAAGGTCTGAGGAAAAGAGGAGGGTAGGCAGGTGAGAGGAGAGAGGTGAGTCAGCAAAAGGGTAGGGATCAGAGCAGGAGGCTCCCACAGGGTGGTGAAGACGCCCAGGAGAGACTGGTTTCAGTAAAGACTATTAAAGTCACGAGTGGGCAGAGATCTAGGCAGAAGACCGGGGGCCGAGGAGATGGGGCCGTGCAGTGGGAAGGGAGCAGGCGTGGAGGGTACTCACAGGTCTCTATGTCTGCAGAAGCCAGCTTCCCAGTGGCTCCGAAGTGGATCCTGATGAACTTCCCCTGTGGGTAGACCAGACAGAGTGAAGGAACTGTTCAGAAACATGGCATCACATCTGGGGCTTTAGCCCAACCCAGAAGCCCTGGATGATTCTAGAAGTAAAGGGTCTATTTGGCGTTGTAGTTTAGCATCAGTAAAACTAAGAAAAGACAGTTCACTCCCAGATACCGGCGAGAGGCTGCGGGGAGAGCAGCAGCCAGCCTGAGTCCGTGTCAAAGCCTGGTTTGTGCCTGTCACCTCGCCCCGCAGTGTCACCCGGCAGTGTTCTGTGGGGTAGAAGCCGTTACCCCTGTTTCACAGGTGAAGGGCTTGGGCTCAGGGAGGTTGGTGACCGGCTCAGCCTGTAGAAATTCAGGCTTTCGGCCCCAGAGTGTGTCTTTCCTCTCAAGACCAAAGTGAAAACATTTGGGAAATGCTCATCATAGATTTCAAATATGGCCCAAGTCAACTCTGCCACATCTGTGGACAGTTTGGATCTCTTTCCTGGGTTCCCAGAACTCAAGGAGCCAGGTTGGGTCAGAAGGGCTTGCTCTGTGTGTGTGTATGTGTGTGTGTGTGTATGTGTGTGTGTGTGTGTGTGTGTGTGTGTGTGTGTGCATACACATGTGCTTAATGATATCCAAATTCAGGGGTGACACAATCAACCAAATATGTTGATTGTTGGCAGGACAGAACTCCCGTTTTCCTGACAAGTTTGGATGAGACCATCTGGTAGTGGTCCAGGATCACTCACGAATCTGGAGGAGTTGTCATTCCTGACGGTCTTGGCGTTGCCGAAGGCCTCCAGAGCGGGGTTAGCCTGGATAATCTGGTCCTCCAGGGTGCCCTGCAGAAGGAGCAGAAGTTTGAGGGGTTCATCAACTATTCACTTCTAGAAGGTTTTGATTGGCTGGGTGCCTACTCTGATCCCCAGGAGTGGGTGGGGTTGGATGGGTGGTGAGTCTTCAGACCACACACAGATCACAGGACACACAGGCACGTGTGTGTGCTGCCGGGAGGATCTGTAGTGACACTCACAAGCCCTGCTCTGCCCCCTGTGTCTCCCCTGCGGAGCCTGTGACCCACACTCGCCTTGTTCGCATTGGGATTGTCCTTCTTGCTACGGTCCCCTATGGCCGCAATGCTGGCAAAGTACTGGATGACACGCTTCGTGTTCACAGTCTTCCCCGCGCCGGATTCTCCACTTGAGGCAACAAGGGACGATCAGAAGCCAGGAATCCCACACTATTGTTCATGCAGAGTTCTCCACACTCTTCCTTTCCTAGTTCAGGCCACCAGGGCCCAGCACCCCCTGAGATTTGCCTTCTTAAAAGAGCCCAGTTCCCCATACTCTTGCAATTATACCCTGGAAAGCTCTCCTTCCCACCTGTACCCCAGGGGTCAGCCTGGGCATCCCCACCCGCAACCCCTGCGGAGGCATAGTGCTTGCTCACGTGATGAGGATGGACTGGTTCTCCCGATCTGGAAGAGAGGAGAGGAGAGGCAATGGGTTGGGGCTAGGCGGGGGCTGGGGAGGAGGGGACACAGGCCGGGGCACCAGGCTCACCCGTCAGCATGTACTGATAGGCGTTATCAGAGATGGAGAAGATGTGGGGCGGGGCCTCGCTCCTCTTCTTGCCCCGGTAGGCAGCCACCACTTCAGCATTGTACACCGGCAGCCACTTGTAGGGGTTGACGGTGACGCAGAAGAGGCCTGAGTAGGTCTGAGCGGAAGACAAAGCCGGTGTGTGGTTGATAAGGGGAGCCTGGGACTGGCAGTCGGGGCCGGCAGAGGCATCCCGGGCCACGTCAGCTGGCTCCCTTCACTCTGCAGCTTAGGGGGGCGGTCGGGGAGAGAGGAGAATGGGCCTTTGGGGAGCTTCTCCACCCCCTGTCTTTGTGAGTCCCCTGGCCTGTGGAGGCCTCTGCGGCGTGTAGCGGCCACTCACGTAGATCATCCAGGCTGCGTAGCGCTCCTTGAGGTTGTACAGCACTGCCGGTTCGTGCAGGAAGGTGAGCATGGCCATGTCCTCGATCTTGTCGAACTTGGGCGGGTTCTGCTGCATCACCTGGTCCTCTTTTATGGTCACTGTCTAGAGAGGGAGAGCGGGTGATAGGATGGGTACCACCGTCCCATGGGCTCTTGCCAGATCCCGTCTGCCAGCCTTGTGCTCTTTCTCTTCCCAGGACACAGCCCTTCTTGGCATCCTTCACCGGGTTCTTAGGTGACAAGGATCCCAGCTTCCTGCCCCTAACTCCCCTAGGACTCAAGCCCCAGGTGACTTTCCTGCCCGTGCTCTAAAGATATTCTAGGGTTCCTTTCTCTTGCCGGCTTCCGACCCTGCCCAGTGATCGACACTTTTCTACGCCCATGCTTTAAATATATAAAGGCAAAGCTGAGGACTAGCAGCTCCAGAATCTGTGTACACCGTGTCGTGTGTGATTCTTGGGTTGTCTCCTGAACACCCCAACTCTGCGCTCTTCATCAGTCATAGTTGGGGTTCAGTTGGCACCGGTTTGCTATGCCCTGATGCCAATACCATCTGCCCGCCGGGATTCAAGTGTTTTTAAAGCGGATCGGTGGCGGCTCTTAACAGTTCAATGCTGTGCCTTCATAGTGACCAGAGCTGGCTGAACCAGGACTGCTTAGAAACCTTTGTGGGTTGTAGCTGCCGATCCACACATCCTTGGGAAGCCACATCCAGGCAGCAAACCTGTGAGGCACACAGCTCCGAACCCTACTGGTGACAGGGGGTGAGTCTCATGGGTAGACCGAGGTAAAAGAGGCGTGTGGGTGTATGCTGGCCTCAGGACTCAGCTCTCAGCAAGTTCTGCCCTTTATATTCATCTGGGTCTGAATTTGCTCTTGGTTTAGGGGAAGGGAATTTGAGAAAGTGAACTCTTGGGGGAAACTGAGGCACGGACAAGAGGGATGTAGCTGCCAGAAAGGGGAGCTGCTCTTAATGCTACACCTGCGTCCTTCATCTACAGCCCCTCCCTGAGGAGGAAGGCATCGTCCGTGCAGGTCTCCTTTCTGGCAAGAGAGCATCTCTTGGGTGACACTTTGGTGCGTTTGCTTAGGTCCCCTGAGAGGGTTGTTCTGATGCTGGGGTTCCACCCGACCCCTTTCCCAACGCTACCCCACTCCCCCTCTCCCCCCACCCCCCTCCTCCCCTCCCCCTGCACACCGCCATCTTGCTGCTGTGGCACACACCTTGCCATTTTCAGTCTCGGCCGTGACCTTGCCACCCTCCCGGGACACGACCTTGGCCTTGACATACTCCTCCTTGTCGTCAGGCACGAAGCACTCTGTGCGGATGTCAAAGGGCCGAGTCTGGGCCTCCAGGCGCTCCTTCTCGGACTTGCGGAGGTACTGGGCCGCTGCCCCAAAGTCAGCCATCTGGGCATCCGTCATCTTGTCTCTCTTAAGCTCTGACGAGGGGGACAGGAGGGGCCTGTCATTCCTGGTGTGGGCCCAGGCTTCTGTGTGCAGCCTCCTCTGTTCTTCCCGACCCGACCCCTGCCTCTCCTATACCAGTTCCTATGGCTCTCCCACCATAGCTCCATGTAAAGTGCCCGCCTGCCCCACCCTGAAGAGTTCTGCTTTCCTTGACTCTGAGGTCACCTGAAGGAGGTTCTCTGCAACAGAACCCTCTTCTCCCCACAACAGGAGGCTCCACCCTGACCCCTTTCCCAAAGCTGGGGTTACTAGAGTTTGCTAAGGGAGGGTCCTGGGCCGCTGGGGGAAGAAAGAGAGGTCTGGCAGCCTGGCTTCTGGGAGAATCATGACCTGCTGTCTGCAGGGGAAACTGGGGCCATTCTTACCTGGCTAAGCTTTTCACAGAGAATCCCGAAGAATTTGAACCGCAGCTGGAACGAGGCACCACAGAGGTGCAGCCGTCGGGCAGGCAGGAAGATGAGCAGCAGATGCGGCCGCCGGCAGAGAGAGAGAGATGGACTCAGAGATCCTGACTGGGCTAGAACAGGTCAAGATAGAGAGGGAGGCAGATAAGAAAGGACACTGGGCGGCTGAAGCTGTGGCTCCCTGGTAGATCACTTACTTACTATGCATGAAACCCTAGGTCTGATTCCCAGCACCGTGACATAGAGAAAAAAAAAAAAAAAGGAAGGATAAAAAGGAAAAGGGAAAAAAAAGATAGAGTGAGAAATGGGTGGGAAAGGAAGAGCACACAAGAAGGCAAGGCAGACAGACAGACAGACAGACAGCAGAGAAGCATGATCAGGGCAGATCTTGCTGAAAACCAGGAGGCGAGATAAAACCAGACCAAGGGGAGCAGGTATCCACAGGAGGAGACAGTGTGTGAGGGAAGGGGTGTCTGGTGTTTCCTACAGAACCCCTCCCTGCCGGGGAACTTCCAAGGCTGGCAGAAAGGCTTCCTAGCAGATCCCTGACTGACCCGAACCCCACTCCCAGGGAAGGCAGTCTCCCTCTAGGTGGGAACAAGTCTGGTGAGGCTGGAGAGCCCCCACCCACAGCTCCCTCTTACCTGGGCTGGAGAAGTCTCTGTCTGACGTCCCTCAAAGCTCCAGCTCCTTTATATCCTGTTTCGTGTGCCTGCTGCCTAAATTTGGAGTCCGTCTGGAGGGACCCTCCCTCCCACTTCTCTCCTGGCTCCTCCCCCTTTGATCCCTTGGCTCTGGAGGTGACAGGAGGACAGCAGGGCCCCAAGGTTTGCCCATGAAAGGTCTGCTGCCCTAGCCCCTCTGGCTCCAGGGCCTTTTTTTAGTCCTTGGGCACATTCCTCCTCCCCAAAGGGCCGATGGGCAGAAGGAGAGACAAGACTGTCCCACACCACCTCCCCTACCCACATGGCCCTTACCTCAGTTATTTTTAATCTGAAGGGTGAATTGAGCACACTGGGTGAGGGTCACCTTCTCTTACAGGCCTAATAGTTATCCTCTGTTCGACTCACAGGCTCCCTCCCCTCCCCTTTCCACCCTGGTTATCTGCACAGCTTCAGGCTGAGGGGTATCTCCTACCCTCTCAGACCTGGAGCTCCACAGTGGTAAATCTCAGAGTCAAAGTCAAGATGTCCGGGGGTGCGGGGGGGGGGGGGGGGGGGGGGGGGGGTGCGGAGGGAAGGCATCCATTGCTCAGGTGCACAACTCCATTTCCCTTGGTTAGTAATAGAATTCTCTCTCCCTCCCTCTTCGTCTCTCTCCTTAATCTGTTCAGATGCTGTCTACGGTCTCTGTTGCCCATGTCTCTAGACAGGTATCCTCCAAAGGCCTTGCTACCTCGGTTTGGGGACACATAGAGTCTTCATTCTATTCTCAATTCTCCCCAACATGCAGGCCATCACCCAATCTCTTTAAACCATAGGAGGGATTCACCCTACTCTGCCTTGGGCAATTTACACACAAACCTAAAGTCTACTAGCTTCCCATACAGAATCAAACAGCTGCACATCCATGCCTATTTTCAGCCACCCCCCCACCTCCCCACAAACACAAAACTTCACACATTAACCCAGTTAAGCTTGCAGATTTTCTTTTTTGCTTCTACACATACCAGTGCATCTATCTGCACACCCATGTTTTGGACACGTAAGTTTTTACCCTCGCTCTGCAAAACTCTCCACTCCTGATGGGAGATGGGAGGGTGGAAAGGCCAGAGGTGTTAATCCTGGGGCTGAGGGAGAAGGGGTGTAAGTGGGGGGTTGCTCCCTTCCGCCTCTCCAGGCTGCCAGAGGATGCAGGTGCTGCTTGGGATGGCTGGCAGGGGATGCCTGGCAGGCCCAGGGATTTACACCAATTGGTCCCAGGCTCTGAATTCCATGGGTGGGGGCTCTGCAGACTTCCCTGTGCCCAGGTGGAACTCTGGTACCCCCTTTCTAGCCTCCTGGGGCTTCCCCTCCCATGCCCTTCTTTGTGGCACCCTCCAGCACCCAGGCCCTGGAGACACTCCCTGTCCTTCAGGACTGCCATTTCTCAGAGACCGTAGGTGTTGGGTCTTTAGCAGGTTGTGCCTGTCATAACTAAGCAGACATTGTGTTCAGGCGACAAAGCCAGACTCCCCTGCTCTGGCTTTCCCCTACACCCTCACACCCAGGAACCCTCGCCCAGCTCCCAGACCCTACCGACTGTCACCTCTCAATATAGCTCTAGAGTGTGGAGGTGGCTAGGACACACAGCGGTCACTTTCTCTGGGTAGAGCACTCTCAGCTATGTGGCATCCTCCCAAGGTCACCAGCCCTAGGACAGTTCACTGCCCCATCATGGACTCAGGGACATACACTTCTCTCCAGGGGTCTTAGAGCCTGTATACAGTGCTCTTGAAGGGAGGGACCTGAGCCAACCCTGCATTCCCATCTGGAGGTGACTATGCCAAATGATTGTTCTCCGGACAATGCAAGCCACCTGTCTGCAGCTGGCTCACCGCAGGTCACTTGAGGCCCCTGTCCTGCAGGGTTAGCCTCTGGCCTAATATGTCACTGCCTGGTTTCAAGGTCCTGAGGACATGATAAGGGACTGAGAACATTGGGTCAGCCTGGGTCAGGTCCAAGTGACAAAGACCAGGCTCTGTCCTCAGGGAACCCTGTGTGCCAAGCAGGCCAAACTTGGTATAGGTAGTGGGGGCTCATGGGAGATTGTGGGCACAGAGTTCCCATTGTCTCCTATGGAAGATTCAACAAGGAAAGAGTTAACTCAGTTCTGGGCTCTGCCCTCTTGTGTGGCCTGGTTTGCCCTCTTCTTCCTTTCCTCGGCCCCCTTCTCTCCTCTGGCTCTCACATACTCTTTTCAGCTGCCTCCCAAAACCAGCCCGGCAGTCTGACGAAAGTTCTGGAGTATGTGGACACAGATGGATGCTCTGGTCACAGGTGAGAGGAACCCAAGGGCCGAGCTGGCCTTTGAGATGCAGTCCAGCCCTTTGTTACCTGTCTTCCCATGTCTCTGTCCATTCTGTGTCTACCTTCTGTTCGCTGTCGCAAAACCAGACCTCGCCTCCGCTGTGCCGGGGCTCACACCAGGGCTCTGCCTTCTGCGGGCTGATCGTGGAGCGGTCAGCCTGGCTTGTCCTCGCTTCCGTATCTTGCCCCAGGTTCTTCCTTGGCTCTCTCCAGCCTCCCTTCTTCTTGGCTTTCACGATTTACATCTAAAGGTAGCCTGAGTTTCCCCCGTCTTGGTGTCACCTCCAATGCCTACAGATTCTCTGTTCCAGGCTCCTCTTCATCGTCCCTCCTCATCCATTCTCAGCATCTTCCTTCTATGGAGGCTCTCTACCTGTCCTTGACCCCCTGTCTGCACCCAGCCTGGCCACCTTTGCAGCATCTTTCTTGCTTGCTCTTTTAGGCTCTGGCTCTTATCTTTCCTGGGCTTCTCCACACCACTCCTCCTTCCGGTGTGATCCTCTTTTCACTCTACCGATCTGTTCACTGCTGTTCAAGTCTGTTCTAGGGAGAGGAATGGTTTTGGAGAGGGAGAAGGGGTGAGGCTACAAAGAGGAAGCGTGTATGACCTGGGCTCTTTGTTCAGCTTCTCTCTGCCCAGGATCTCTTTCTTTTCTGTTTCCTCTGCTCAAGCCATCCCTGGGTTCCCCATCTATTCTGATGAGGCCTTTCCTTTTTCCTTCCTATTACATTCTCTGTTCTCCCTCACCTTCTGTTCTTGCTTTTGGAATCTCCCCATCCTCAGGACAGGGCCCATGCTCTCAGGCTCAGCTCTCAGCGATTAGAGACCAGGGAGTGTTGTTGAACAGGAGTCAGGCCATATACAAATGTGTCTATGCGAATGGTTGAGGGGAGATTCAGGCCAGGGCTGAACCAGGTTCCTAGAGATGGATTAAAATCCCATTGTTTCCCAGACCCGCATTCCTAAACCTGCCCTCAGCAGCCCAGCTGTGGGAGAATGACAGGGGAACTAGACTTGCTTAGCTGGAGAGGACTTGCTTGTTCTTTTTTTCTACCTCTAGGCCCTTCCACGGTTAGTCCCCCTCCTTCCAAAATCTGGTCCCTCTGTTGCCTACTTCTTCTTGAGATGGCTTGCCACATATGGGCCAAACCTCATCTTCCAGCTGCTGTAGAGGTAAAAAGCCTTGCAAATGGAAGTCACAGTAGGGAAAACGAAGGGGAAGAAATGAGTACCATAAAGGGGCTGAGTCCTGGGAGGATGGAGAGAAAGAAAAAAGGTAGGCCAAGGTTACTGTCCTCCGGCTTAAGTGGGAGGGACATGGGCCACCGTGGATGGCTGTGTTTAGAATGGCATGTGACTACATCTGTGATCCCGTGTCCTCTCGGAGGTCTACCTAGGATGGCGTCAAAGGGGACATTACCACATCCTCAGACTGAAAAGTCACTGGTCAGCCCCTATATTCTGGGCCTCGTCCCATGGTCCAGCTCTGAGTTCTATCGGTGTGGGGTACTGATTCGAACTGGCATGTAAGTGTGTGATAGATGGGCTCAGTGCTCCAGCTGAGTTGGGAGGCTCCTCTAGATGCTATTTCAACCTGCCAGCCACTGGACTTGGGGAAAGGCTGAAAGGAGAGGTGTACCACTTCTTGCTAGGTTCTGCTGGAGGGGAATCTGTGGACCAATGCTGCACCAGGAAGACTCAGAGCTTCCCAGGGTCCTGGGGGGAGGCCTTCTGAAGATGCCCCTCCTTCTTGCAAGTCCCGACTCCCCACCCCAGAGCCCCAGGGCTGGAAGTCAGTGAAGAGAATGGAGGCAGGGTCTCAGCTTCAAGAACAATTGCTTTATTTGGCTTCCTCCTAAGGGGCTGTTACAAAGGCTCCAGGTCTGAGGGCTTCACAGGCACCTTTAGGACTGGGCAGCTCAAGGTCTACTACTCCTCATTCAGGCCCTTTTGAAATAAAACAAAGTCCAAATTAGCTCTGGGAAGGCTGGCATTCTGGGGACAGGGCATATGGAAACTGGAGTTGGAACTAGGGCACCTGAGAGATGGAGACCCTTGTGTGATCTGTTGGAAGCCCCTGTGTAGGCATGGATGTATTTCCAGGGATCAGTTTAGAAGGGGAAAGTTCTGGAGGGAAGGGCTCTTGAGCAGGCTGGAGGCAAGCTGCCTCTGTGAGATCATTGCAGCTTGTGGGATATTCTTTTCACATTTGAGTGTGAAGGTTAGGAGCCAAAATGAAGTGGGGAAAAAAAGAGCTGGTAGTTGGGGGGAATTGGAGCTAATGGGTATATATAAATTGGAGCTAGCCAGGCGGTGGTGGTGCATGCCTTTAATCCCAGCACTTGGGAGGCAGAGGCAGGCGGATCTTTGTGAGTTCCAGGAAAGGCGCAAAACTATACAGAGAAACCCTGTCTCGAAAAAGCAAAAAATTGGAGCTGCGTAGGGTTTCTGACCTCTTGATCTGGGATTCCCAGAATCACTGAAAATGAGATCACGAAGAACCTTAGAAGTCACTGGGAACTCAGCCACCCTAGCCTTTGGGGTTTTGTGGTTTGGTTAGGGAATAAACGAAATAGTACTATCTGAAAGGACAGAGGAGTCGTGTCTGCTGTGGGAGGTGACAAGGGCCAGAGGAGGGACCCACCTTGGCACCAATGTCACGGCTCTTGGCCCGCAGCTTGTTGACCTGGGACTCAGCGATGTCCGCCCTCTCCTCGGCCTCATCCAGCTCATGCTGCACCTTGCGGAACTTGGACAGGTTGGTGTTGGCCTGCTCCTCCTAGGAGCGGATAAAGGGGATGGGTGAGAAAGGACCTGGTCTCTTAGCCTTGCAGTCTTGGGGGCTGGTACCCCGTGTCCCTCTTCCAGGCTTCAACCCCAGCAGGGTCACTCACCGCCTCCTCAGCCTGGCGCTTGTAGGCCTTCACCTTCAGCTGCAGCTTGTCCACCAGGTCCTGCAGCCTCAGCAGGTTCTTCCTGTCCTCTTCTGTCTGAAGGTCAGGAGAGGGTCAGAGGTGAGAGGGCACAGTCCTAGGAGGCAGCACCCCACCCTGGCTGCTCTGGACTTCTGCATCCTCAATGCTACATTCTGAACCAATGCTACCTTCTGGACCTCACAGAATATTTGAATTTACTTATAATTTCTCACCCAAGGAGCATCTTTTTGAGGCATGGACTCTCTATGCAGCCCAGGTTAGTCTCAAACACATGATCCTCCTGTCTCAGCCTCCTGAGTATTGGGATCATAGGCATGCGCCACTAAGCTCACTGGGAATGGGAATATTTTAAATAATTACATAAGGAAAGAATCCAATGAGCTAATAGGATTCCTGAAAGAATGTAGTGACCAGGGAGCAGGCTCCTGAAGGCCCTGGAACACCACAGAACATAAACCCACTGGCTGCTGGCCCAGCATGTGCGGGGAGTGACTCTGGAGCTGTGAGCGTGATGGAATTTCCTGGGCTGCAATAATGGACTAACACGAACTTGATCTAGCCTCAGGACAAAGTGTGCTTGGAGGGCACAGCATGCTAGACTGAGACACACACACAAATTCTAATGGACAGTCTCACTCTACAAAGCACCACGGAAAGCTGGGTTCATATTGCCTGGGGTACCTGAAAAGTGTGGAGACTTATTTGAATGGCCCTGGTGTCTTTGGTTGCAAGCCTGGCTGTAAATTTTCTTCTGGGGAAGGGCAGTGCTGGTTGAAACTGTGCCTGTCTGTGCATATCTCTTGTGGATGGACTGAGGGCGCATGTCAAGGTGGAACATGCAGGCTGTGAGGCTCAACCACTGGCCTCTGGGCCAGGGGACAAGAGTTGGTCATGATAGGGCAGAGGGCAGATCATCCAGGGCTGCATGCCAACTCTGGCTGGCAAGAAGGAGCAACACCTCTCTGTTCCCTTCGGCTGCTCCTCACTGTGGCTTCATGGTGCAAGGGCTGTGACCACAGTTCTGCGCCAACCTGGTAGGTGAGCTCCTTGATGCGGCGCTCACTCTTCCTCATGCCCTTCACAGACTCCGCATTGCGCTTCTGCTCAGCCTCCAGCTCGTTCTCCAGCTCCCGAACCCGGGCCTCCAGCTTCTGCAGCTGCTTCTTGCCGCCCTTGAGGGCGATCTGCTCTGCTTCGTCCAGCCGGTGCTGCAGGTCCTTGATGGTCTGCTCCATGTTCTTCTTCATGCGCTCCAGGTGGGCGCTGGTGTCCTGCTCCTTCTTCAGCTCCTCCGCCATCATGGCGGCCTGCGCATGGGAGAGGAGGGCTCGTGGTCTGCTCAGGTCCTCGCGGGCTCACTGTGCAGGCTGGGGAGATGCCGGCCTGGAGTGGGTAGGCAGGGGAGGGGACTCACATCTGTGATGGCCTTCTTGGCCTTCTCCTCTGCGTTCCTACATTCCTGCACGGCCTCTTCCACCTCAGTCTGGAGCTGGGACAGGTCTGCGTCCATCTTCTTCTTCTGGTTGATGAGGCTGGTGTTCTGGGAAGAGAGTGGCAGAGCAGGAAACACTCTGGGCATCTCTGAGGGGCTCCTTCCCCTGCCACCTACTGAGCTCAGGCATGCACAGGGCACCCCCTCACCTGGGAGTGCAGCAGCTGCACCCGCTCACTGGTCTCAATCAGCTCCTGCTCTGCCAGCTTCCTGGATCGCTCGGTCTGCTCCACCACAGCCCGCAGCTCCTCCAGCTCTGCCTGAAGTAGGTTGTTGCGTCGCTCCACGATGGCGATGTTCTCCTTCAGGTCGTCATTGGCACGGACGGCATCGTCCAGCTGGATTTGAGTGTCCTGAGGATCAGCAAAATGAGCATAATAAGATAGAAAGCTGGCCTTGGTGCCTTCACAGGGCTGTCACGTAGAATTGGATGTGGGTGGAAAGTCCACTGTGGTGGCTCAGGGTTGACCTGTCAGATATCTCTACATTGACTGTGTGACAAGAGAGAGCTAATGCCTCTACCATCTAATTAGCCCCTATGGGAGCTAGGCCCCTCTCTGGGGGAGGGGAAGCCCTGTTTCCAGAAGTCTCTGAGTACCTTCAGCAAACTCTGGAGGCTCTTCACTTGTTTCTGGGCCTCAGCAGCCATGCGGTTGGCATGACTGAGCTGGATCTCCATCTCATTGAGGTCGCCCTCCATCTTCTTCTTCACCCGCAGGGCCTCATTGCGGCTGCGCGTCTCTGCATCCAGGGAGGTCTGCAGGGAGTCCACCACCCGCAGGTGGTTGCGCTTGGCCTGCTCCATCTCCTCATCCTTCTCTGCCAGCTTCCTTTCGATCTCTGCCTTGATCTGGTTGAACTCCAGCTGGGCGCGGAGGATCTTGCCCTCCTCATGCTCCAGGGAGGCCTGGAAAGGGGTGCGAGGAAAGGTTTTGCAGGCGAATTAGTCAGAGTCCAGAAGTAGGGGTCTTTCTACAAACTCACGATACAGAAGGAGTTCGGGAATGGTATACATGGCTCAGTAATCAGGTGCAGGGAAGAAAAGGAGAGGGTGTGCACAGAGAAACAAAGCAAGCTGAGGAGAAGGTGATGCAGATCCCAGCAGGGAGAGCCAGATTGGAAGACAAAGGGGAAAGTGAAATGTGTTGCCAAGGAAACCGAGGCAATCAAGCAGAGTGTGTAAAAAAACACAGGCAGGCAGAGGTGGAAAGGGGCTGAGCGGAAACAGCCTCTAAGGTGCAGTACATCAAATGTTTGCATGGAGGGAGCCGAGTGACCCTGAACTCATCTGTTGACAAATGTTTCCTGGGTGCCTGTGTATGTTTGTATGTGTCCAGCCCCAGCCTAGGCCCTGGCGATGAGCCAGGCAGGAGGGAAACAAGGTAAGGGGAGATGGGAGCGGGGACCCAAGTCTAGATCTCAGCCCCCACCCCAGCCCTGCTCCCGCCTGCACGCCCACCTCAGCCTCCTCCAGCGCAGACTGCAGCTCCAGCTTCTCGGCCTCCAGCTGCTTGCGGATCTTCTCCAGCTCATGGATGCTCTTCCCAGTGGAGCCCAGCTGCTCAGTCAGGTCTGAGATCTCCTCTGCGGGAGGCGACACACACAGGGACTCAGTCTGGAGTTTCTGTGGTCTCAATAGGGTGTGTGTGGGGGGTGTCTCTGCCTGGACTGCAGTTGGGGCCCTCAGGCATGGGGACATGACCCTTCCCTGTCCCTGCGGCCCTTCCCTGTCCCTCGGCTCACACACCCTGAAGGTTCTTGTTCTCCCTCTTAAAGGTCTCCAGGTGCTCCAGTGACTCCTCATAGGCATTCTTGAGCTTGAAGAGCTCTGTGCTCAGGGAGCGCGCCTCCTTCTGGGACGACTCCAGCTCTGACTGGGATTCCTCATACTTCTGCTTCCACTCTGCCAGGATCTGCAGGGGAGGGGCACACTGCCCAGAGCTGCCCCAGGCCCCTCCCTCCCCTGCCTCCAAGGAGACTGCCCTGGCCTTGAGCTGGCACAGACCCCACCATCACCATGCGCACTGCCCACCGCCCCACCCCGAGGCTACCTTGTCGAAATTCCTCTGCTTCTTGTCCAGGGCAGCGGCGGCGGCATTGGAGCGCTCCACGTCCACCATCAGGTCCTCGATCTCGTTCTGCAGCCTGTGCTTGGTCTTCTCCAGGGAGGAGCACTTGGCATTGACGGCCTCCACGGCCTCCTCTGCATCCTGAAGCCGCTGGGCCAGCTTCTTCCTGTCCAGGGGAAATAGGAAGGGTGGCAGGGTAGAAGGGGATGGGGAGAATGGAGGAGGCAGAATTGGACAAGAGGAAAGCATGTGAGCCTTTCAAAAGACTTTCCTTGACAACCCAGAAGCATCCAGAAAAGCCTGAGGACTGGCTCCAGAGGCTGAGCACTTGGCAGGCAGATCTTGGTAGCTGAGCATGAAGACACAGAGCACCAGTGGAGACCATGAGCCTCCCCCTTCTTCTCGGCTGTAGCCGCCGTTCCCTCCGGCACCCTACCCCAGGTGGGAATCACTCAGCCCTCAGACAAACCTTTTGTTCGTCTTATATTCGGATGAGAAACATAACGCGAGCAAAAAGCTTCCCTGAGAGGAGCAGGAGGCGGGGCTGGGGCAGGGCCCTCCTGCACTGTCCCGCACTACCTAAGAGGCCCCTGTGTGAGCTCCATTGAGCATCAGACTGGGTTGGCTGCCCAGGACTCACTTGGCTTCCTCCAGCTCCTCAGTCCTCTGGATGGCATCCGTCTCATACTTGGTCCTCCACTGGGCCACCTCTGAGTTGGCCTTGGACAGGACGCGCTGTAGCTCAGCCTTGGCCTCTGTCTCTTCCTCATACTGTTCCCGTAGCAGGTCACAGTCATGCCGGGCTGACTGCAGTGCGTGGGCCAGGGCATTCTTGGCCTGGGAGGAGGTGGGCACCAAGGAAGTGGGTCAGCTTTTTTCATAAGGTCACTCCTGGCACACCTTTACCCCAATCTCAACATGCTGCCTTGGCCACAGCTACTTCCAAGTCTCCAGTGAACCTGGAGTGGTTTCCTGAGCTAGAATGACCCTGAATAGTAAAACAGTGCCACACTGTTTACAAAGAAAGTCCTTGTGCCCATTGCCCAACAGTCCTTGCAGCAGATCTCATCATCCATTGAGTTTATAGGTGCAAACAGAGACATCAGGATGTTTCTATTTCTTATAGAATCTATCTTATAGATTTCACCAATCTATAAGAGGTAGATTAGCATTGAGCTTTGGGATTTTGTAGGGAGAATGTTGGGTGTTTGTGCATGTGTATGGAGGCCTGAAGTCAACCTTGGGTATCATTTCAGACACTGTTCACCATATTTTTTGAGACAAAGTCTGCTCTGAGACCTAAAGATCACCAATTTAGCTGGGCTGGCTGCCAACCAGTCCCAGAGATCTCCCCACCTCTGCCTTCTCGGTGCTGGGATTATAAGAGTGCACCATGCCAGGCAGTGGTGGCGCAGCTGGGCAGTCGTGGCGCACGCCTTTAATCCCAACACTCAGGAGGCAAAGGCAGGAGAATCTCTGTAAGTTCGAGGCCAGCCTGGTCTACAGAGCGAGATCCAGGACAGGTTCCAAAACTACACAGAGAGACCCTGTCTCCAAAGGAAAAAAAAAAAAGAGTGCCATCATGCCCAGCTTTTTACATAGGTGTTGGGGATTGAACTCAGGTCCAACCATCTTCATGTTTATCCGGCAAGTACTTTACTGACTCAGCTGCAGTCCTGGCCCTGGGATTTTTAAGAACTCACGCTCTTGTCTCTTTTTCACGAACTCAGTACTGTGCTATACATAGGCTCCTTTCCTTCTCCAGCTGTCAGATTATCTCATAATCCTAAAACCCTTTGTGCTGTCCCTGAACCCCATATCTGCACCCAAGAAGGCTGTCTCCTTAGACCAGTGGTCCTCAACCTTCCTGATGCTGAGACCCTTTAGTACAGTTCCTCATGTTGTGGTGACCCCCCTCAACGATAAAATTATTTTCGTTGCTACTTCAAAACTGTAGTTTTGCTATGGTTATGAGTGTAATGTCAAAGTCTAATATGCAGAATATCTGATATGTAACCCCAGGGAAAAGGTCGTGCGACCCCAGAGGGGTCCGGACCCACAGGTCGAGAACTGCTGTCTTGGATAATTTCCTCTCTGCCTCTTCCCCCCCCACCCCAGCGTGGCAACAGGAGAGCAAAGGGCCTCTTCTCAGCCTGGGGAACAGATTTAAAAGACACTTGGGAAAGGCTGGGCTATTGGTTTTTTTTTTTTAGAATTTGTAGAGAATTGTGGACCAGATCAGCCTCGCTCTTAGGAAAGAAAGAGACACCAGGTTCAAGGGCAGGTGGTGCATGCCATGCTTGGGCCAGGCAGGGTCCAGGCCTCACCTTGACCTCCTCCTCCAGCTGCCTCTTGAGGTCCTCCAGCTGCTGGGTGTAGGTGAGCTTGCCTCGGGTCAGCTGGGAAATCAGCGCCTCCTTCTCATCCAGCTGCCGGGACAGCTCCCCTGGGGAGGCACCAAGGTACCTTCAACCCCTCCCCACCCTCCACCTGTCCCCCAACCCTTAGGCTCCATTCTCTGGAGGCACTGTGGGCCCATGAGGGGCATGTACACCCAAGGTGGGGTGGCTCAGGAGGTTGGGCTGGTGGCGCTCCAGCCCCGGGCTCACCGTTCTCTGTCTGCAGCTTGGCCCGCTGGCTGGTGAGGTCATTGACGGAACGCTGAGTCTCCTCAGCCTTGCTCCGATGCTCATTCATCTGGTCTTCCAAGGTCCGGCACATCTTCTCCAGGTTAGCCTGAGAGAGGAGGGAGTAAAATGGAGTGAGGATGGCAATTGAAGAAGAAATGGAGAGGGACCCATGGGAAGGAAGGGGGCAACCATACAACAGCATAGAGGGAGGAGGAAGACAATGAGCAGCCAAGGAAGAAGACAGGAGCCGGAGGCAGATGGAGGGAACTAGAGAGGGAGGCAGCCGAGAGGGCCCACCTTGGCCTTGATGATCTGCTCCATATTGGAGGTGACGTCATCCAGCTCCAGCTTGAACTCGCTCTTCTCCTTCTCCAGCTTCTGCTTCACTCGCTGCAGGTTGTCGATCTGCTCCCCCAGCTCGGCCACACTGTCCGCGTGCTTCTTGCGCAGGGCCGCGGCTGTGGCCTCGTGCTGCAGGGTGGCCTCCTCCAGGTCCCGCCGCATCTTCTGGAACTCGGCCTCGCGCTTCTTGTTCATCTCGATCTGCACGGACGTGGCCCCTCCGGCCTCCTCCAGCCTCTCGCTGATCTCCTCCAGCTCTCGGGACAGGTCTGAGCGCAGCTTCTCCACCTTGGCCCTGGCTGTGCGCTCGGCCTCCAGTTCCTCCTCCAGCTCCTCGATGCGGGCCTGGCCGGGGACACGGAGGATCAGACCTGCTTCCTGGACCCCTCCGTGGAGGCCCCCCCGCCCCGCCCCAGGGACACGGAGGATCAGACCTGCTTCCTGGACCCCTCCGTGGAGGCCCCCCGCCCCACCCCAGGGCTCTAAAGGCCCCCTGGACTACGGAGAACAGCAAGTAAGTGTGATGTGTTACTGGAGAGGTGGACATAGAAGGATTGGGGAAGGGGTCTAGTCAGTTTATCTTTAGGCTTGAGCATTGCACGCTCTCTTTATTAGAAGAAAACAGATCCCTCGGAGAAGGACAAACAAATTTGTGTTTCCTGGGCTTTTCCAAGCAGTTTAGCGGCAAGAAAATAGCAAAAGTCTAACTAACCGAGAAAACCACTCCTGTTTGATAAAATGGCTGAAGTCCTAACTCAGTGCCTGCTAAAGAGGAAGGAACCATAAAGGCTGAAGGGACTTTAAAAGTCACCAGATGACAGGGGTGACATGGGGACCGAGAGGTGATTGTTTGACTGGACAGAGCTGAGACAGAAAGCCAGGAGTTCTGCCCTCCAGACCTGGTTTTTCCCCCAGGGTCTCTTCTTTCATGCATCATATAAGCCCCTCTTGCAGGGAGACCTGTGCATTGCGTCCCCTCTCCTGGACACACGGTTCCCGTGATGCAGGAACAGCATACGCTTGGAGAGGATGCAGGGGCGCACAGCTGCGGTCCCCCACCTTACCTGAAGCTCTTTGAGCTTCTTCTGCAGCTGGCTCCCCAGGGCCTGCTCATCCTCAATCCTGGCATTGAGTGCATTTAACTCGAAGTCCTTCCTGCAGGGAGGACAGGGGGTGGGTGGGGTCAGAGGTCAGGAAGGCACCTGGAGTATCCGCCAGAGATCAGAGACTGGAAAACAAACGAAGTGCGGGGGGGGGGGGGGGGGGGGGGGGAGGGGGGGGGGGATACTTCCCAGAGTGATTTGGGTTACCCAAAGAGTAACACCTGCTGTCCGATTCAAGTCCAGTAAGACCGTAATGGGAAAAGCCCTGAGGCAGAGTGGCAGGGCTGGCCTCTACGGGACTGTCCCCTCTACGGGACTGTCCCCTCTACGGAACCGTCCCCTCTTTAGGCCATGTTTTCTCATCTGTGAAGGGAGGAGACTATTTCAAAGACGTGTGTGTGTGTGTGTGTGTGTGTGTGTGTGTGTGTGTGTGTGGTGTGTATGTGGTGTGTACTGGTGGTCTTTAACTTGTCACTGTTAGTTTAGGCAAGTCATAGCCTCTTTTTTTAAAAACTGGGGTATATACATTATAGCCCAGGATTTCATAAAGATAGCGTCTTACGCCTATGCCATGTACTTTGATCACACTTGCCTCCTTCTCAACGCATTGACCTTCCTGAGCTATCTCTTTGGTAAAGTCGGACTACATCATCTTTATAAGGAGACTGAGGAGGGGCTAGGGAGCCGGCTCAGCCATTGAGAGTACTGCTCTTCCAGAGGAAGCAAGATGTTCTCAGCCTTCATATCGGGCAGCCCACCACCACCAGCAGCTGTGACTCCAGCTCCAGGGGATCTGATGCCCTCTTCTCACCTCTGGGGGCACTACAGTCACATGTACAAACTCACACTCACACACACACACACACACACAATTAAAAATCAAATATTAAAAAAGGAGGTTGAAGAATCACTTACTAGGACCATCTATTCACTCAACAAAGTCTGTGCCTAGGGAAGTGTGAAAACGCCTGTGCAAATACAAGTTGAAGTATGCTAAGACCCTCAAATGTGAAAACATGTTTTCGTAACTCACTATTAACCAAGTCTGTGTGTGCACCTTTTGGAAGGTCTTACAATAGAGACTGGGACTAGAAGTTACCTAGAAAGAAGAAATGGCCCAACCCTTTCATTTTTTTTGGAAACAGCAGAGCCATTTCTTTGTGGTTCAGTTTGCTTTCTGCAGAAAAGCCCAAAGGAGACTTTCCTGGGAGGCTTTTGTGTACAGCCTTCCTCCCTGTCCACCTGTGTGCTCACAAAGAAAGCAAGCTTTTATTTTCGCCTCTCCTAAGGGCCTGAGGGATCCAAGCAAGACTCTTTGCCAGGGAGGACCATGGGGCCTTAATGTGCACAGGAAAGTACTCTTCCTGGAGGTCTTTGCCCTCAGTCTGAGCATCCACCGCCTCTTAGCATGGCCCCTGGGTCAGCTTGTCCTGTCCTGAGGTGAGCTGGGCTGAGAAGAAGGAGCCACAGCAGTGAGGGAACATCATACTTTTTAAGTTTCTCGTCCAGCTGCTGCTTATCATTCTCCAGGTCCATGATGCTCTCCTGGGTCAGCTTCAGGTCACCCTCCAGCTTCCGCTTTGCTCGCTCCAGGTCCATGCGCACCTTCTTCTCCTGCTCCAG